TTTTTTTTTTTTTTTTTTCATGAGGCTCTTTATTATAGCTTTCACTTTGCAGCTCAAGATGCTAACCCTTTATGTGATTGATATGCAATGTAGGAAATAGATCTCCGGATTGGAGCTTCTTTCACACGGTTTCAGACTATGCTTTTGAGAGATGCATTTGTCCTTGATTTTGCGTCAGATAACCAAAATATTATTTTAAGTTATGGTCCTTGCCAGGTGAACCATATTCCTTCTTTAATCAGCATGCAAAGAATACGAATGAGAAGTTCAGACTTATCTATTGATTAAGGCTGTTATTTTTTATAAATTGTTATATCACGTTATTCAACTCTTTTTAACTGTACAAAGTTTTGCATATTACTGAAGTTTATGCTTGGTGCTGATGTTTTTTTTTTTTTTTTGGCTGCAGTTCCCGACACTGGGTTTCATCGTGGAGAGGTTTTGGGAAATCCAAGCACATGAACCGGAAGAGTTCTGGACTATAAACTGTACTCATAATTCTGAACAAGGCACTGCTGGATTTCATTGGGCGTAAATACTATCCACCTTGCTGTTGTTTTGAAATCAAACTGTTTAACATGGAAGACTAATTCTGTTTAACTAAGCAGGAGAGGGCATTTGTTTGATTACACATGTGCAGTGATTATATATGAAATGTGTCTCCAGGAACCCACTGCAACTGTAAGTCTCTATAAAGACCTACTATTTTCCATGAAATAAAGTAATAAACTCATTACTGTTGGGTTGATCTTCTACTTATTCATCTCAAGGTCACAAATGTTGGACAGCAGGAGAGGCTTCACCATCCCCCCCATCCTTTAAGTACATTAGAGCTTGAGAAGCGTGCTTCACGTTACTTCCGAATGAGCTCAGAACGTACTATGAAGGTCAGTTTCTCCTTGTAAAAGATATCTCCTATTATTCTCCTGTTTTATCTTTTTGTTGATTTCACAAACATTTCCTGTTTTATATTATTTACAAAAGACATCTTTTTGTAAAGTCTTTATAAAGACCTGGTGCACTCATGATTTTCTTTTTCATCTTTTATTATTTGAAACTCTATTAACGATGAGATCTTTCAATCTAAAACTTGAAACTACTACACAAGATTTAGATATTTTTTGTAAATTGTATATGAAACTCAAGTTTCAATTTTTACGACACTGTTCTATCCATTACCCTTTTTTTATGAGCTGTAGCTTTAGGTCAATGGGACAACCAGAACATTTTATTGATTTGGTCATTTAATTCCTCCATCTTAGATGTCTAATCCTCACAATTATATCCGAAAATGCCAGCCAGTGGGATTTCCTGTTCAAAAAAGTCAGCTAGTAGGATTTCCTGTTCATCTGATGCCTTCACTGGTACAATGGAGTCAGGACATGTGTTGTTAAAATATTTCTATGTGAAAATTAAGAAACATAAATAAATTCATTGGCATGATAAAGGTAACTATTCTACAAATTTTTGCTAGTTCGTTGTAACTTATGCTTTCAATGTGCAACTTGTGGGGATGGGGACCTAGCATCTGCATTGTAAGATTGTTGAAAATGATCAAATGGCTGTAATGTCCTTCAAAACTGTCTTTAAGGATCATATTTTATGTTCTGTTTGTAATTGTTTTATCAGCATATGTATATATATTTTTTTTTTTTCCTAAACTCATGAATTGTACAAATCAATTCTGTATGTTCTGCTTTTAAATACAGGTGGCAGAAGATCTTTACCAAGCTGGATTTATCAGTTATCCTCGTACTGAGACGGATTGCTTTACTGTGAGAACAGAGCTGCGTGTAAGTGACAGATTTTCACCTAGGACCTGAATAATTCGTTTAGTAAGGAAGCAGAGTATATGGGTCCTTTTGATGGTTCAATTGTTGAGTCAGTATATTAATAAGTTAAGTGGTCGATTTATTTTTGAATTTGATTTTTATATTTAATGGTCAGGATATATTCAGCAAAACGACATCCGTTAGCATGACAAGTCCTTTTTAAAATTTGCCAGCACTGATGCTGCGTTTTTGGCGGAATATGTTTAAAATTTAGAAAAACAAACACCAAGGTTCTGCAAAGTTTATGAGCATTACCATTTCCATTTCCAAGTACTAATACCATTTATGTATATATATTTGTGTAAACCCTTTTGGGGTATAGAGTTTGTCTGACCTCTTCTTGTTTGGTAGACAATTGTGCAAGAACAGCAAGGACACCCAACATGGGGCTCATATGCCCAACGGTTGCTGGATCCTGAAGAAAACCTTTGGAGAGATCCTAGTAATGGTGGACATGATGACAAAGCCCATCCTCCCATCCACCCAACAAAGTTTTCTGCTGGAGAATCTGGGTGGAGTCAAGATCACAAAGTTGGTACCATTTATTGACAATAGCTGTTATTCAATTTTCTACTAAACATTTACTGAATATAACAATATTAGATACGTATGTGTACTGAAGTGATCTCGCAATTCATAACAGAACGTCTATGAATTGGTTGTTCGCCATTTCCTGGCATGTGTTTCTCAACCAGCTATAGGAGCTGAAACTACAGTTAATATTGACATTGCTGGTGAACAGTTCTCTGCATCTGGGAGAGTGATAATAGCTGTGAGTTTTCTGTTTCTTAAGTTCTTGTTTGATGTTTGTTGTACCTGTTGGTTATGTTTGGTACATTGTTATATTATGAAGCCTTACAAGTTTTTAAACAACGAGTTGTAGAGTAACAAGGATACTTTGTTATTGGTCAAGCCTATTAACTTGTCAGCAATCAATCAATCAATCCATTAAAATCTCACTAAGTGGGGTCGGCTATATCAATATGGATCACACGTTGCCATCGTGCTTGATCAAAGCATATATCCTCATTCAAATTTAAATATTTTAAATAATTTTTTGTTGTCTCCTTCCAAGTTTTTCTTAGGTCTACCTCCTCCCCCTTTTAATTTGCTTCCTTAATTCTAATGTTTCTACCCTTTTCACCAGGGCCTCAAAGTCTCTCCTTCGCACATGCCCATACCATCTTAAACGTGATTCTCTCATTTTCTCCTCTATGGGTGCTACCCCAACTTTATTTCTAATAACTTCCATTTCTAATCTTATCTAACCTAGTATGCCCACACATCCATCTCAACATTCTCATCTCTGCCACTCGCATCGTTTGATCATTTTTATATTTAGTAGCCCAACACTCGGATCCATAAAGCATCGTCGGTCGAATGGCCGTTCGATAGAACTTGCCTTTCAAACTCATTGGTACTTTATGATCACAAAGTATCCACGACGCACTCCTCCACTTGATCCATCCCGATTGAATTCTATGTGTTACATACTTAAATATGTTGCCATTATCTTCTAGAATGGATCCTAAATATTTAAAACTTTTAGATGTGTTCATTTCGTGTTCTCCAATTTTAACCTTTAGCCCATTATTACTCTTTTGATTACTAAAATTACACTCCATATATTTCGTTTTGGCCCTACTTATTTTGAAACCCTTTGTTTCAAGCGCGTCTCTCCAAGGAAAAACATTATCTGGGTTAAATTTTAGCAGTCAAATGATGCTTTAGAATATTCTTGTGATGAGCACTCCATTGATATAATGTCTTACTATATCTCTTATTTAATGATGAATACTATGATTGATTTTGTATTTTAGTTTTTACTTTCTAAGTTAACTAAGGATTTATGTTTTTCCAGAAAAATTACTTGGAAGTATATCGATTTGAGTCATGGGGAAATTCTATGATCCCATCCTACAACACTGGGCAACAGGTTCTCTAATCATCTGTTTATCTGCTTTGATAAAGTTGTTAACTGAAGTGTTTGTGAATTGCTGTTTTCATTATTATGTAAAATTAGTTTGATTGTTAATATGCTTATGCATTATCTTCTGCATATTTCCTGCCCCTAACCCTATAGTTTCAGTACTAGTTCTCAGTGACTGTTATATCCTCATGTATATGTCATGCATCTGCTGAATAGATATGCAATGAAGTTGAATCTATCCCATTATCGTGCTGCATCAATATTGTCATTTCCTATGTATAGTAATTTTATATTTACTTGGCTGATATATTTTCATATTTCTGCCAAACCACACTTCACTTTATTGAGGTCGATTTTTTTGTTGTTGTTGTTGGTTTTTTATTTTTTATTTTTGTAAATCTCAACCTTCTAATCTGCAACTGTTGATCTGAGGACAAAGTTAAGCACGTATGGTCTTTCAGCTAACAGTAGTGCATGGGTTAGATATCATTCCAGTCTGTTGTGTGAAATTGGTGTTGATATATTGTTGATCCAGACATGTTTGAGCTGTTTCTTCAATGAATGTCAAATGTTGATTGTGATGTTTCTATGCACTTTTATCGACGTGAATATTTTATAATAGCAGATTGCATTTCATGATTGAGGCATGCAACATACTGTTTTAAGAATTGGAATATATGAAAACATGACTATAAAATGTAATATTGGTTGGGATGCCCTGCCCCCAGTGAATGGGAAAAGTTAACACAGTGAACAGGGGAATGTATTTGCCAAGTTGCTGAACACTAGTGATTTATGGCTGTCTACCTTTTTCACACATCACCATAGAGTACATATAACTTTTATTTTAATGATTGGTGGTTGCAGTTTATTCCGAGCTCATTGACTCTCGATTCAGGAGTTACAAGACCCCCACCTCTTCTAAGTGAGGCTGATTTACTAAGTTGTATGGATAAGGTAAGGGCTTTTAACAATTTAAAGGAAACATACACCGTGTGTCCCATTTTTGCTTTTGTGAAGATTCTTGGTTCTCGGATATATATTGCAGATGCTATTGATTATAATTGTTTATCTATTTCAATTTGATAGGCAGGTATTGGAACCGATGCAACAATGCATGACCACATAAAAAAGCTTCTTGATCGTTTTTATGCCACTAAAGACTCAAGCATGCGTTTCTCACCTACTAAACTTGTAATGTCTTCCTTCCTATCTATCATTTGTCTGTTTCACTATGACAATAGCACTCCCCTATTCTCATTTGTAATTATATGTCCGGACTTGAGGTGTTGCAGTTTTACATGTCTGCTTGGTGTAACAGATTTTACATATTGTTGCTTGGTATTACAGGTGTTAGCTGTTCAACTATTCCCATTTAATTTAGTTTTTTTATACAGAGTATCTATGTGCGTCCTATTTACAGTCTCTGTTCAACAATGAAGATTGCATTGTATTCTCATTGAGGCATCTGTGAATTGTATTGTTATATTTACTTGTCTGTGTTTAACAATTTATCCAATTGAAAACTATTTGAAACTGTAAATTACATGCCAGACTTATAATCCAAGCCTCGCTTAATTTCAGGGGGAAGCACTCGTAATGGGATATGATGACATGGGGTGAGTTATTCTCGTTTTTATTAGTTTGCATTATTTACCTTCTGCACGGTTTTGGACGCAGCAGAGAGTATTAACCAGTCAATTATGATTACATGATGACAAAACATCAGTATAGGAACTTGAAATGATAATTCAATTTTCACAAATTATTTTGAAGTATGCTGAGCTAACTGATGATGCAAACAAATTGATTATTTGTGAACCAGGAAAATACTTCTATAGAGTGAGTAGGTTACCTGCTTAATTGGGTCCTTTTGTTCTGCTTAATTGGGTCTTTTGTTTTTCCAACTGACATACCAAATTCTTAGTCAGGATTTTGTTTGTTTATCATTAAATAAATACTTATTTGTCTTCATTCACTAGTTGGATCTTGTAATAAACCAGAAAACAAGCTCCAGTTATCAGATGCAAATTATTAACACCTCAAGTTAAGTATCATTGCCTTTCGCTGAAATATTTCTCCTTAGCTTGGGTTTGCTAACCAAATGTGCATTTCATATAATTATGATCGGACCTGAGAGGAAGTGGGGGTTGGAGGAATTGGGTTCTGACACTTGTGGTTAATAGACTATAGGTTGATACAAGGTCGGTAATCACCGTGGAAAGAATTTATTCCCACTGCAGTATTTATAAACGTCTTCCTCATTATGTTATGATAAGCTCCAGCAAATTTGTTCATTGAGTCAATATCTCGATCTAATCTCAGACTACGCCAACTGTAGTTTGTATCATTTATTTACATAATGGTAGGTTAAGCGCTCATGTTGATAATAAAATAAAATGTTTACAGTTACGGAATATGAAGCATTGACATAATTGACAACAACGATTTTTTCGAATGCTTTATATTCTCTGAACCAGATATGAGCTGTGGAAACCAGATCTTCGTTCTCAGATGGAAAGTGATATGAAAGCTGTTAGCATCGGGGCAAAGAGGAAGGAAGAAATTTTGGATACTTGCCTACAGAAGATGAAAACCTGCTTTTTGGATGTAAGTCAACTTTGTATATGTCAATTGAATCGGTGTATTTTGTTTCATTTACCAGAGAACATTTGTTTAATGTTTATACCTGCTGCTAGTGTTTTCCTTTGTTAATTTGTGATGGTGCTTATTTGGGCCTGTGTAAGCACTAGTGTCAGAGAAGAATACTAACTAAAATTCAGTATAATTTGCTATCTTTGGAATAGCGGGTGTGGAAATGGGACCGGACATTAGTTAGAGAAGTACATGGTCATTTGTTTCCATGACTAGAGCAGTGATATTGTCGCCTGATGCATGAACGTGTCCATGACTTCAAGTATAAATATGAAATGTCTTGTTGTAGGCATTTAAGAACTCATCCGTTGTTGTAGGTCAACCATGAAATGATGTCAATTTTCCTTTGGTTGTGTTCTTGACAGTTAATTTCACTAGTACATTTGCAGTATACTCAAGTCACAAATTCTGTGCATTTTGTCTTTTGATATCCACTGGTTATTATTAATTGTTTAGTTATAATAAGCCCTCTTTATCTTTTTGTTTTTGCAGGCGAAACTGAACAAAGGAAAATTGTTTGAAGCCATGGCAATTTTCTTTGATAGGTAAACATTATATTTTCTATGGTACATGCAGATGCTAGCAACAACTAACAAGTAAAATATTATCTATTCAGGTCAAACAGATCCAGTGGCCATGAGCAGCACACAATTGGGGAGGTTGTTCGGAAATGTAACCTCTGTCAGGAATCAGATATGGTTCTCAGGAAAAAGCCGGTATTTTAATAACCCTATTTAGGTTAATGCTACTATAACTGGTCGCACCAGAGTTATCTTGCGAGTTACTGTGGACATTGTGACTTCAATGCTCTCTAGTTATACCATATGCTAAAACAATTTGGGGGACTAGTTAGATGCTGCCATCCAAGTCCAAGCTGATGGTGTCTCATGATTACTATCCGTCACTTATATTAAAAATCTGTTTTTTTAATACCTCTTTTGTTTAACTTAAAAATTCCTATTTTTTTTTTTCTAAGCAATATGTTTTACAGCAGGATATGCAGCTGGAAATCTTGTTACAGGCTTCTTGCTTCTGTTTTTATTCATGCACTAAGTTGATTGGCATGCAAAAGGATCCATCTATTGGCCCTATAACAATTTTTTAAGTCTCTATGAGCTCCTTTAAAGAACTCTTAAACAATAAATTCCCTTCATAGAAGGTGACTAGTCAAATTTTTTATCTGCAATTTGATTTGATGATTTCCTGTCCTTCGCAGGATGGAAATTTCATGGTTGGGTGCTTGGGCTTCCCACAAGTAGGTGTCCCTTTACAACTTTCAAGGAAAATATACTTCCCTTAACTTTTCAATTTCAAACAAGTACAACATTGATGAACCTCGTGATGTGGAATTACTAATGAACATTCTTAGTGAATTTACATGGAAAGAGATGGCACTCTGACTTGCAAACCATGTATCACCATTAAGAGAGTTGAATATATATATATATATCTATATATATATATATAGATATATATAAGTGGGCCATCCAATTAGTGCAAATAAGAAGTTTTTCTGCTCATTTTTTTTCTACTAATTGAAGCAAACAAAACCGTTACATTTTATATTAATTATGAGTAATCATATTTTTTAACTATTCTATTATATAGCAAATAGGAGTTGCTATTAATACTAAATTGTAAATTCACCCTACATGGTATATGTAAATTCACCCTAAATGCTATTTGAAAGTTGCATACTTAAAATAAATTCTATTAACACTTTAACGTCAAGCTATTTATTCTAAAATCAATATAATTTTTTTTTTAAACTCATTAAGCGATTTTTCTTTAAAATTAACTAATCTGTTTTAATAGCATAACCAAACCCCTTATAATCACATAAACAATTGGCATAATAATAATAATAATAATATTTTCAGTTAATTAATTGGTCATTATCCTTCAAAATTATAAAAAATACCTTCTCCATTATATTTTGTCATTGATTCATATGTAATTTATAAAATTTATATTTATATTTTTCATTTTTACTAATGGTCAAAATTTTAAAAAGTGACACCCGTTATTTAACTTACTATTTAAAATAATGTGTGTGTGCGCGCGCACGTGCCTGTATATCTATTTTGCGTTTGTGAATGTGCACAAGATCGAGTACTAGTGTTGCATGAACAACTAACCACGTGTATTCAATTCCCGAGAGATTGTAAAATTGCATGTTGGGTCAAATGGGAATCAATTACATGTAAACGCCTAGGCTGAAGATTAACATGACACAAAACTAGCAAATGACATCCTAACACGGGAGACTGATGGGTCAGTCTAGGGCATCTTTATCTAGGAACTGGATGCATTTTGGATCTTATGGCACCTGTTCATGCGCTACCCCCTGCATATAAATCATGCTGAAGAGTGAGAAGATGTAAATGAGAAATTTTGGTAGCATTAGGGCCCATGATACTGAATTCTTACCGTCATAAGTCATATCAGTAGAAAGCATAGCTAACATTTGGACTCATGACTACCTTAATGGTTGAACTGGAGTTTCCATAGTCTTTTCATACGGTACTTCAACGTTCGCTAGTGTTTGCATCGATGTCTGCAGTCTTAATGAATTGTTTTAACTGAGATGATTGTCAATTCATAATCCATCTGCCAAAATCCAAACGTAAGTGCTTTTAAAACTGAACAGGGATAGCTACTGTGGAACTTGAGTTGGTTTCTGTTTTGCAAACAATATACCACCCATCATACTTAGGGATCCATATAATCTGCCTATGTGCTAGTGTGGTTGATGTGTATCAACAAATTTATGCTTTTGTAAGCTTGATGCCAGAGTACACATGCATCATAAGTTTGACATCAAAGTATTGTTATATCGTTGGTAATTTCTTTCTTTTTTCTTTTTTTTTTTTTCTCTCTTTCCAGTGTAGAAATGTTGTCTGGCTTCCAGGGCCCATATCAGAAGCCACAGTTACCACAAATATTTGCAGCACCTGCTCTCCAGGTCTGGATACTGGAAACTTGTGTGAAGTAGCAGCAGCAATATCTTATTTTTATAAATATATCTTATTTTATTTATTGTTTTAACATATTTCATTTCCATATGAATAATTGTCTGTGAGCACAGCACATGATTTTTATACATTTGATCATAAGCAAAATTCATGTACAGGACCTGTTTACATGATTCAGTTCAAATTTCGTCGGATCGAAATACCGCCGAACTACAGTGTTGATCATTTGGGTAAGATTACCCTCATGGAATTAGGGACTGTTACAATCTATTCATTCAATTTTTTATTTCAACATTTTATGTAAGTTCCTAGACAGTTGTATTAATGGAGTAAACAAAATACAAAAGATATAATGCATAAGTATAGAGAAAATATAAGTTCCAGTTTCATGTCATCTCATTAATAAAGTTGGAAGATTACAAATGATGTTGACATGAGTTGACTGTAAAGCTGAATAATATTCATTTATTACTCTGCATTTGATTGTAGAAGATTGCAAGCTGTTTATGCTTTGTGAATGGATACAATAATTTCTACCTATGGTTATATAACATTTGGTACGGCCATTAACTCGCATTACATCAGTAGATTGATACTTTAAATGCCTCCTACCGCCATCTCCCAATGCTCCCAGTTCTTAATTGATAAATGACAAAGATTATATTACTGTAGGATCATGCATTTATTTATATAGACAAGATGTGTTTTGCAGACAAGTTTCCATGTTCTCATTTAGACAATATTCTGGACACTCTTGGTTTCTTGTTATGTTGAACAAAGATCTGGATGATTGCCGTAGTTCATCTCATACTGAATTTGGTATCTGCATCAAGGATATTAACTAAAAAGGTGAACTGAACTGCCCTGATGTTTTCAGGCTGCATTGGTGGATGTGATGACATTCTGAAGCAGCTGGTAGAAGTATGTGGAACTGGGTCCCGCAGCAACTCCACCATTCCTGGTACCTATAGGATTAATGTTAATGCATATAAGTATAAAGCTATATATGATTCACATGCATAGACATGCATGGACCATGACTTCAGTCACACATAGCTGCAAATGTTTTGGTTGCTATACAAGCATACTAGTACAGCTCTCTAAAAGGTTTTCTTTGAAACTTTTAAATTGCTAAAATTACCCTACCCTATAATTAATTCTTAAGGTTATTAGCACAATTTTATTATTAAGGGAGTTAGATTAGTAATCAATAATTTTTAAATCTCCATTTTTCAATTTATATTTGTTCATTCTTCCTCCTCTTCTTATTTATTCATTTTCTTCAACTTTTTATTTTATATCTATGCATTCAAGAATTGATTTTTTGGAGTTCTTATCCATAATAAAACTATTAATATTATCTACGTTGATTTATAATTTTTCTACATATAATTAAAGAAAAAATATTTATATTCACGTGGCTATTTTTTCATATGCTGTATGAGATCATTAAAATTTTGGATCACATATTTCTTTATCACTTTGCACATTTTATTAACTAGTAAAGTGCACGTGCGATGCACGTGGTGTCGAATGATTTTCGGTGAATAAGTTTGTAAAAAAAGTTAATTTATTTATTAAACATAGCATTGCAAGAATGAAATAAAATATAGAACAAATGACTCATATGTGATTTTTTTATTTTTATATTTAACGATGTCTTAATATTGAAAAGAGTGGAATAATGTTTTACAACCTTCAACAACAATATATAAAAAACAAATCCATATAAAAAAACACTAAGATCTTCTTTCATTTTGGTTTTGACGTTCTCATAAGAAACATTCATACCCGCTGGAGTTGAATACATCAATACTATTGCAAAACTCGTCTTAATTGATTTGGAAAAACGCCTATTTTATTCAAACATTTAAGAAACATTCTGACTCACCATATAGTCAAACTTCATGATCGTATAATCTTTATAATAAGTATCTCTACTAACAATGCATAAATATCTCTATGAAATAATTAACTGTGTCATTAAATTTGCTAATATTTTTTTATCATTGTATAAACTACTACATTAATCTGTCTCTAGACATATTGGTGCCTACCCCGTTGATACATCGCCCCACGAGGTGGGAATGAATTTTATCTTCAAATAAAAGTTCATGTTCCAAAATCTTGGTTACATTTACTTCTCCCGAGGTGCTCAATTATTTTTTGAAATTATCACACATTACATGAAAATACCTCTAAAGTAATTGCATATATGTTCGAGCACAAACACCAATGAGATTATAAATATTTCTATATAAAGTGACAACTTCATTCAAACATTCAAAACTGTTTTGATTCTCCGACATTTCGTTTTCATTGTTATTTATTTATTTGGAATATAGACGAATATATAATCTATTATTTGAAAATCATTGACCATCATGGTTGTTGCAATGATTTTAGACTTGTTTATCATAATATCTTTCACATTCGTTTGAAAATGCAATATTTGTGAGCCTAATAACTTTTTTAATGCTCTTATTGTCCAACATTATTCATCATACAAAATGATTATAAAATTCAAAATAAAGATCATTTCTTTATTCCCTAACAATGACAAAACAAAACAAACAAAACAAAGAGAAAATATTGAGAAGCATATCATTTGTTAAAATATTTAATAGGAGAAGAATTAGAATTTTATTATATTACGATATTCATAGTCATCTATAAAGTTTTTATTATGGAGTCATGATTAAACTATACATTATTTGTTACAAATATTTAGATTTTTTAATTATATATAAAAAAAATAAATAATATAGGATCATTATTTATGATAATCAATTTCTTATAGAGTTCATATATTTAAACGCTAGCAACAAAAAATAGTAATTTTAAAAGACCTTTGTTTATAAATATTGGTATTCATACTTTTCTAAGTAAATTCGTACATTTTTTTCATTGCGTTACTGTTATATTATTTATTTCTTATTCTATAGACAGATAATACTTTATTTGCTAAATAATTAAAGCACATTTATATGTGTTGCATTATTTTTTGTATGTGTTTATATAATGATGTTATCAAATTATCTTATTTATTAGGCTACAACTAATATATTAACATAAGATACAATGTAATTTATTATATTTGATAAAAATGTACTTTTTATACTAATTATTAGATTAAAAAGTTTCGAAAATTTTCCAATGTTTGATAAAATATTAAGTCATTTTCATAATTCACTGAATACATATATGATACTATTATTATAGGATTTCTTTTCAAGCAGTAATTGAATGATAGTTTAGCATACAACTCATTTATTTGTCTTTTTAATTCACATAGCTAATGTTATCTCATTTCCCATCTTTGACCCAACCTTTCCTTCTTTTATCTATGACATCACTTCACTTCACTTTGTTTGTACCCTAAGGTGCATTCGTCATAGTTTCAGCATTACGGCAAACTCGTGTCAAATGTATATCGGATTTGGGCTCTCTAGCCAAAACGTGGGAATAGTTGTAAGTTTACATCCATTTTTTTACTATTTTTAATATGAATTGTTTCAAATCTATGTTAGAAAAATATACCACAAGTTTATCTTATGTTATTTTATACTCAACAAAACTGATTTAACTTGAACATAAATTTTATAATATAATATACTTTTAGCTCAATTTATTATTTTAAATTAGTACTGATATATATATATATATATATATATATATATATATATTATATCGATATAAATAATTGTATTATTTTTATTTTATTTGCAATATATTGGTAAACTCAAACATCATTGAAAAGAAATGATGTGATATATTACTTATAAAAATGCTAACAAATAAAAGATATGAAATATTTCAAAATTAAAAACTTTAATGATAGAAAGTAATTAAATTTTTAACAAAAAATTTTTAAGATTAACATACCTACTTTTAAAGAAATATATATATATATATATATATATATATATATAAATTCTAGTTAAATTATATGTGTATCTTAAGTATGTTTTATATTTCTCATTAGCCAGCTCCAATTGATATTGTACATTAAGTAATTTTATCAGTATTTTTACTTTTGGATTTAATGAGAGATATAAGTTTTCTCATCATTCTCATACCTTATTTAATTATTATAATACTAATAAAATAAATTAAGGACCTTTCAAAGTATCTTGTTTGTTTTAAAAAAAGTTACTTATTATCATAAATTAAACGACAATTATATTGAATGTGTTGTATTTTCTATCATATCACTATTTTCATAATAATAGTTACACACAATATTATATATAATGCAATTTTTTATTTATTTATTTTTTATTTTTAGATATGGAGTCCTACTTTTACTACAAGAAAATGAGAAAATTTCAACGAAAATTCTAACAAGAATATAACGATTTTCTGATGTTGAATTGACAAAAATCATTTCTTTTGGTTTCTTAAATATATTTTACCTTTTTGTGACTGAATTGATTTTTTAAAATGTATTACAAATGAGAAAGATGATAGATTATGTAAAGTATAATTTTAAAATTGCAATGACATGTTATTTTAATGGTATATTATTTCTATTAACTAAATAATGCCCTAAATATGAAATTATTTTGAATCTATCAGTGCAATTAGCTTTCCAATGGAACTTCTATTGAATTTTTGTACAAATCCACTGACAATTTTCCAACGATTGAAACAGGGCCAAAAAAAAATTCCAATGGAAATTCAAGTAATTGAAATCTTTAAATCCACTAAAGTTCATGTAATTTAATTTGAACTCTGTGGAATAGCCAATGAAATTTTCCAATGAAAGCAATATTTATGAAATATTCGTTGGAATTTTCAGTAGAATACCTCACCGTTGAATTTTTTATTGCAATATAGCAATTTTTTGTAGTCCTCTTAAACATTAATTTTTTATGTAGTATTTATTGATTAATTGTGTTTACAGTTTTTCTATTAAAAATATACTGAACACACTAACTTTTTAGTTCCTACATATATATTTTCAAAAATCACTCATTATTTTATCTCAAGATCACGTATTAATTTACCAATTGAGTTATATTTTTTACATATTAAATATTAAATAATTAAAATATTTCTTATTTTATATGTTCAATATGTTATTTATTTATTATATTAAAAAAAACTAATATAGCAAATAAAAAGTTATTTAAAATTAAAATAATATAGATTTTTTTTCTAACCTACATGGATAAACCTACATGGATAAATGTGCAAATAGTTATTGTCTATCACCTCAAATTTACACATAAAATAATAAGGACAAAAACTAACAAGCTTTTTAACAACTTAGCTCGTTTAAATCGATAAGTATATTTTTAAAATGTTTATATTTACTTTTATTAATTATAACATTCTTATTTATTATTTTGTTTCATATTTAATAGTACTTGTCACAACTTACTTATTTTTAATATTATTTATCACATTTAATAATTTTTTTTCTTTATCTTATTCTTTCACATGTTCTTAACTGTAGATTTGTCAAAAAATGCATAATAAAAAGTCTAGAATTATTTCGATCATCTGTCTCATCAATTATTTTTATATCTTATATTATGTTATATTTGATTAAAAATATTTGATTACAATTTTTTAATTAATGTTATAATTAAATATTTATAATTCATAAATCATCAATAATATTTTTGAGTCAACTTTTGTTCATAAAATTTTTAAAGAATATATTATTTTCAATAATTTGCTTATATTGAATTGAGAAAAGTTATGTTTTTTTAGTTGTAACTGTATTGATGTGTTAAACATGTATTACAGATGAGAAAGCTGACATATTATGAAAATATAATTTATAAATTATAATGACATTATGTTATTTTAATGATAATATACATTTTCTATTAACTAAATAATGCCTCAAGTTTGAAATTATTTTGTATCCTATCGAACATTTTAGAGATATGTGGAAGATAAAAAATTCGTGAGAAATAATAGTGCCAACATATTGTAGTTGATTTTAGGAGTGTGGAATGATTTGTTCATGTAATTATATGTAATTAATTGAATATTAGTTATTAATTAAAAATATAAGATAGGATGGACATTAGTATATTACTAATTTTCCAATAAAAACATGTCACGGTAAGGGTTTTTTAGGTAGTTCATTTTTTAATTAAAAATATAAAATATGATGTGTATTACTGTATTAATAATTTGTCACTAAAATTATGTCAAAGTAAGGGTTTTTTAGGTTTATATGGTCAAAATTAATCCATGTTGTTAAAATGGTATCTCATTTGATGTGAAAATAAATAGATTAAGTTTTGGTATTTTACAATTTCATAAAATTGTTTTGAACAAATGTAGCAAAGAAGTTGAATAGATTAGAAGTTTAGGTTGCAAAACAATCATTCAACAATTTATCTCACATACTATTACCCATTTTTTATAGGCTATCTTGAAAATACTGTTTCTATACTTTGTGGTCATTATGAGAAAAAAAATATCGGTTTCTAGTTTTATAAGTGTTTATTATGCTTTTTTTGTTGGATCAATTTTAATTTCTTTAAAATACTTTTATATATTAGAATTATGAAATGTGATTACAATATTACCATTAAAATTGTATTGAAAATAATGACGTTTTTCAAAGCAACAATTCTACATCCTATCAAACATTTTTAGAGATATGTGTAGGGTGAGCAAAACCGAGCCAAAACCGAAAAATCGAGCCGAATGCAATTCGGTGCGGTTCGGTTCTTTTTTTTTATGTAAAAAAATTTCGGTTCGGTTTTTTCTTACATTACAGTGCAGTTCAGCTATAATATTATAAAAGTGTGGTTTTCGGTTTTTTTTCGGTTCGGTGCAATTTTACACTGAATCGCACCAAATTGAATAAAATAGAAAAACCAAACTTAAACCGAAAATCGAACCGAACCGTCGGTTATTTTAGTGTAAAAAAATTCGGTTTGGTTTATTCAAAACTTGCGGTGCGGTTCAGTTAAACTTTTTGCTAAATTTGATTTTCGGTTTTTTGCGGTTCGGTGCGGTTTTTCACTGAACCTCACTTGTCCACCCCTAGATATGTGGAAGAAAGCAAATTCGTGAGAAATAATAGTGCCACATATTGTAGTTGATTTTAAGAGCGTGGAATGATTTGTTCATGTATTTGTATGTAATTAATCAAATATTAGTTATTAATTAAAATATAAGATATGATGGACATTAGTATATTACTAATTAGCCATTAAAAACATGTCAAATTAAGGGTTTTTTAGGTAGTTCCTTTTTTAATTAAAAATATAAAATATGATGTCGTCCTTTTAAAGTAGTATAGATAGATAGTTTATGCGGAAAAGAAATATTATTACTTCTAGTAATCTTATAGGATGTGGTTCAATTGAGAATCAAGCTTCAATGCAAGACCCATAGGAACACTATATTTTTTTTTTTGGTACAAGGAAAGAGGCTAAGGGCCTAGTCTAGGACTTGTCGGTGTAAAGCAACACCCATACTATCCCGCTCTAGCCAAGTGCGTAGTCCGGGAACACTATTTTCACGATTTCAAGTAGCTTAGCGTGAAGATACCATTAATCAGCAAAATCAAAGACAATGATGCATTCTCTAGCAATCAAGATTCCACCAAAAAAATACTTAATTTCATTTTTGAATTTCTAACATTAATGTTTGCTATTTACTTTTATTTAATCATAACTTTCAATTAATACCATCGAATATTATACTTTAGCATTCGCTACATTTTATGTGGTTTATTATGCCTTCTTCTTTTAAAATATTTAAAAAAATAATTGAATGTACTATCAAGTTTAAATCCAATAAGCAATATAATTTTAAATCACAGAAAAAATATTAAGCATCATGTTCTATGTCCTAGTACTTATAAAGTGCCCTTATATAAACTTTAATGTCATGCCACTTCAGTAATCTCCTCTTATTGCCAGTGTGCACTCTACCCCATGTACGATTTGTAAAACCAGTTACTATATACAGGAAGAGGACAAGGGCCTACACCATCCTCCAGCAGCGCACGGCAAAGTAATACCAGAAATCAAGGTCCTTGGCAAACAGGGCGTTCTTCTGGTTCACATCCTCCAGAGAATTCACGAGGTCGTAATTCACGATCTCAGGGAGCTGTCTCACAAGATGGTATGATGGCTTTACTATTCTTACTGTACACATTTTATTATGCATGTTCTTTCTCATTACGAGTGTTACATATGCATTTAAGGCATCAAATGTTCAACAGTATAAACCATCTTTCCGTCCACTACATTACATTTTTCTAACAGTTACAAGGAACAAACCATCTTTTTGGGCTGATGTAAAAGGGTACTAATTTCTAAAGCAGGGCTAATAATCAGAAAATAAAACAGTCACGAGGATTTGCTAGTTCCGTTTAATAATGAGTTTCTCGTTTGAATGGAAAATATACTGAAATTGATTATGCTAATAAACTTTGCCAGATTTGTTATTATATTTCACTCTCATTTGCCAGATTTGTTATTATATTTCACTCTCACAGTGGGAGAGCATTTTCATTTCTTCCTACTCATTGGCTCTCGTATCAGCCAAATATCACTGTTTCCCTCGGTAGAGGGGGTAAAGAAAGTGGAAATTAAAATAAATGAAATGAGAATTTGAAATTGAATCAACCCATTTTCTTATTCAGTTCTAAGATGATGTTGTATTATAAATCAGGGTATGAATAATGGTAAAACACAAGTGAGGAGAGGTAGACCATTTTATACAATTTTGATTCCATTTTCTTCCTTTTTTCCCTCATATGAAGGCGCAGGAGAATCTTCTATTCCATGTACCTCCTGTGGTTCACCTTGCAATTTGCGCACGGCTAATACTGCAGCTAATAGAGGAAGGAAGTTCTATTCATGTCAGGCTCAGGGTTGCAACTTCTTCATGTATGACAGACTATACTCTTGTTAATAATCTCACTCCTCGATATCTTTTGTCATTAAAAAAAAAAAAAAAGAAAAACTATTTTTGGAATTTTTGTTTGGAATATTTTTCTGTTGGAATATGATTTTTCGGAAATAAAGTTTTGGAGATAAAAATGTGTGAATTGCAGGTGGGAAGATAATGCTGCGAGTGGTAGGGGAGGAGGTATCAGTAGAGAAGCTCCAAATGGCAACAGCAGAAGAGGTGGCCGTGGGCGTGGCCGTGGCAGGGGTGGTGGTGGTAACCGAGGGGCGAATGATGGTGGGGCTTTTGTGTCTGCTACTGGTGAACCCATATCAGGCAGGTGTTTCGTATGTGGTGATCCCGGCCACTTTGCAAATGCTTGCCCGACTCGCGGTAGGTGACTTTAATTTTTCTATCTGTTGATAGGGTCGTTCTCGACACACAACTTGCCGGAGATCTTTAACTGTGTATGATTTTATTTGTTTATGAATCCTTTATTATATATATTTGTTTCTGACACCACTGGATTAGGCAAAATTAACATGGATAGAACCATTGATGCTGACATGGAAATAAACAGAAAACACTTCCATGAAATCCACTCCATCATCACCATCACATTACATTATAGTAAAAGTCTTTTCACTTGGAGCCTTTGCAGTAGCTGCATGGATAAAGCACTAGTTTGTTTACATGACCTTCAAAAATTATTATTCGCATGAAAAGATCAATGCAAAATGTAAACTAAGCAAATGATGCAAGTTTGGTTTTGGGTGGATCGACAAGACAATGATTAAGAAGGTTGTCGATTGAAGTGTACGTGTGCTCTGGGTACAGCTTCGAGGCTTCCAAGTCATCTACTGCTAGTTCAAAGCTTAATTGAGTACCAGCAGTAAAAATATCGTGAAGAATCTCCACTGGTATGTTGTTTGGGTGTGGTAAACCTGCACCCGCAAACAAATATTTTTCAACATTTAGAAATGTCCAAAGAATAACTCCCATTACGGGAATTTCTCATGTAGTTATTTTATGAATCGTCCCGGTTTTCACCAGATTGATCCACGAAGGTGCTGGGATGATTAGGGGACTAGGAGGGGACTAATGTTAATTTGGCAGTGCTCCACCTTTAGGCTCCATAAATAGTGAGTTCATGGGAGAGTTGATGTGGGTGTAGCACAATATCAACAAAATAAGCTGCAGATTAGTGTATATGAACACTACACATACCTTTATATTGCCGGCCTCTTTGATGGCTTTGATTATGTTTAGTTGATCAAGGGATCGATTGAATTTAGATTATTTGAATTTCATAAAGGCTGGATTATGTTGGGGAACTCCCAGTGCTGATATCACAATATCGACCTCTTTGATCCCCGATACCAGTTTTTCATGCTCGTATAGCTTTCCCTTTGTGCTTCGGAACAACCAAAATTCGAAGACAATAATATTTTGAGTTTGTAATGCATTTTATTCTTCAGAACTGAATCAGATGGTATAACAACATTATTTTTCCATTATTTTACCTTTAAGAAAGCACAGCCTACAAAACCTTCTGTTAAATAATTTCGTCCAGAAGATCAAATCTTTTGCGACTAATTAGACACTTTCATTTTGGAAAAAGAATTGTTTTAGCGGTACGATGATCGGTTTATTGGCAGCTGATTTTCTGAAGAGGTTCAGTTAAGTTCTACGATTCATGTCATGATTTCGAGTTTGAAGCAAACATGTAGTCAGTTAATAAAACTATCTTTCATTTTTTAACCAAATAATCAATACCAATTACATTTTTCATTTATCTGTTTTTTTTCTTATTCATTTAATAACGAATTACATATCTTATTAATATTTTTTTTAAAAAAAAAAAAACTCATTAACTTTTAAATTTGTTATGCAATTTTATGTAAGATATCAAGTCAATAATATTTTTTTTTTTTGCAATTTTGAATTTAAATCTAGATTGCATATGATGGAGATGGAGATGAGGATTGGTTTTTGGATCTTGGTGATGATGATTGATCTTTGAATATTTAATTAATTATTTATTTTCATTGTTATTATTATTATTTTATTTTATTTATTTTATATTTGCTAGGTTTATTATTATTATTATTATTATTATTATTATTATTATTATTATTATTATTATTATTATTATTATTATTCAAACTTTTTCTTGTTAGACACACTAGGAATCTTGGTTTTTTTAGGAGTCTTAGGGTTTTTACAGAGTCTTATTTAAATACCCCTCCTTTGTTTTGTGGGAGTTGAATTTGAATAAGAATATACGTATTTAGAAGATAAATCTCTTCTTTTATTTCCCATTCGTAAGCTGTGCTATATCAGTTGGTATCAGTGTCCAACCACGATCAACGATGCTGCCACGGTGACAAGATGTTGCAGACGACATGCGTGACGCCGTCGTCGACAACTTGAGCCGTTAGCTTGAGGTGTATGACCGGAAGTTCTAGAGGATGGGTTGTTAGATTGCAGATCTCTCCGCAGGGATCGGGGACATTCGTCTGACTCATTGTACCATTGTTAAAGGCGAGCACACGAACCGCGAGCAGGCGCGGAGGACTCAACGGTGGGCGTGGAGGACGTGGCATAGGCGGGGGCGTTCACCACCACCACTGCATGGCGATGACGACGTCCAGGAGACCGTGTTAGAGGTCAACCCTTTCGGCAACCAGCAGGCACGCCAGGTAGCCGAGGGCTTCGTCGGCTACTGCTTTTGCGACATGCGATGGGCAGTTGCGGGTGACGGCATCCACTGTCGTCGCGAGCCGCGGGGCGAGGGCGAGGCTTCGAGAGACTGCTTTCCGGGTGGAGATCCCCGAATTTTCAGGGACCTTTGCGGACGCGCAAGGGTCAACCAAGTATGAGGGTCCGCCTCGTTTCGATGATGAGGGGTCGCCCAAGTATGAGGGTCTGCTAATTTTTTACGAAGAGGATCCTGTAATCCAACATTGCCAGGGTTTGATCACTTTGCTGCTAAAGGATCAAGTGATGCTGTTGGTTTTAGTATTCCCACAGATTATGATCCAATCACTGTAGGCCCAAGGTAGACAACACTGCAAGAATGGCTTCTGAGTCCAACACCTCAGAAATTACGCCAACTAAGTCAGCTTGCTTGCTATGGCAGGATTTGTAGAAGACGAAGGCTAAAAATGAGCTTGCTCTTGAACTATGTTGACGAAGATGAAAATGGAATGTTGGCCTAGGGTTTGTGAAATGAAGATGATGTTGGGAGAGGATGAAGTGTTGTGTTTATAGTTGAGGAGGAGACTAGGGTTTATTGTTGTAGTTGGGCTTAAAACCGGGCTTTAAAATTACTAATGCTTGGGCTTTAAAGAGAAATTTACACAGATTACTATTCCTTTGTTAAATAATATTAATATTACGAAATCTGAATCTTATATTCATAAGTACGAATGTTATCTAATTAAAGGAAATGCAATACATATATATGACGGTTTTTCAGCAAA